CGGTCATGCTTGAAATATAAAAACAAGAATTTTTGATATGAACTTTTGCCAACTGTTCATTTTTTAAGAATTAAAAAGCAAGAAAAGAACAAAGTTTATTGAAGAATTTAACACTGAAGAATAAGGTTTAAAGTTTATACAGAATAAAGTTTACTTTATCCTGGACTTTTTTGGAAGTGATTTAAATATAATTTTATTCTGGAAACGATTTAAGGATATCTTTTTTAAAAACGTTTTGTGAATATTTTATTTTACTTTCGAAAGCCGAGCTAAGAAGAGCTCGTGTTTTTGTCGCTGTTGCATGAACTTCAAATTTTTTTACAACATAAAACATAGTTTCCGAAATTTTTATTTTTGCTCAACAATTGTAATTTTTTTTACTACAAATTCAATTTCAGTAAGACATGATTTAACAATACCATAAAGACAAGATCTTGAAAAATTATTGGTTCATAATTATTTTCAGGCTAAAAATCGTGCCGATGGATGTGAACCATCTATAATCGATGATCCAAGTTGCTGTATTGATGGTGATGCTAACGCTGTTATCAGAGGTAATTGGAGCAAGAAGCAACATCAGCAACATCCAAGTTTAGCATCACAAACTTTAACAGAACCTAGCACAGCTGCTACTCCTTCATCGCATAGTAAGAGCAGAACAACAACAATAACAGCAACAACACCAATAAATAGGAGTAATGAAGGTGCCGGGAGCGGTAAATCGGTGCACGGTATCGTTGCATCGTTAATCCGAGCGGCCGAAGAGACGCGTTTTCAGGCACCCGATAAACCTACAACACTAAATTTTACAAGCCGACGCCAGCAACTGCCGAGTGCCACTGCTACTGCCATCTTACAACAGCAGGTATCTTCCTATCGTTCATATTTCTAGGCTTTCTAGGGATTTTAATGGTACCAGGTAAGGTGTAGGGCTACCTCCAGGATGTACCGGCAGTAAGAAATAGCATCGGTTGCACCACTGCACTGACGTATAAGTACCATGGTAAGAGCTGGGCGGGGCCATAATGGAGATCCGGACGGAAGAGGGGGGAGGACGGGGGAGGGAGAAAGGGGAGGGTTCTAGGTTAAATTTGCAACCTCCGGTGCATTCCAGGTTCCAGGGTGACATTAGCAACCTTATCAGTAAAAATTTACACACCCAGCGCATTTTCCATGCTGCTGACGTACAGAACTTTTAGGAGAAGTAAATGGGCTGTTTTAGTTTCTTCCTAGAAAAACGCATTATAAATTACTCCTTAATTGGTTTTTCAAAAAAATTACTTCAGCGGTGGGCGGTTCTGAAATTTCTTTCTCCCCCATGTTCCCGTATGCTCCTCATCAATCGTACCCCCTTATCACCAGCCTCTTCGGCCCCTTCCTACTTTTATTTCTGGATATCACAGTGTTTCAGTTTTTCTGTTTCATTATTTTT